TAGTTAAAAAAGTTGTGGAAATATGAAAACCGTTAATACGTATTGAAGAATTGCGGCATACTCTTTTCTGCCCACAAAACACTATAGATAATGAGGAACCCTGTGCGCAGTAGTGATACGTATGTAAGCTGTTACTTTAGTTTTTATACCTTTAATGAGACTTATTACATCAGTTTGTCATTTAAGATTGTATTTTTGAGTTTCATATTATCAGACAAATTAAGATATTTGTGACAGTCCTGGTTTCATAACTCACATGAGATATGTAAATGAACTGTTGCGAAAAATAATTTAAATATCAAAGAAAAGATATTTTACTTAAACAAAGGTTAATTTTATTTTACTTGTCAAAGGCGGCAATAGAACTTTTTTTTATAGGATAATGGTGAAAAACGAGCACACAGTCCACCTGATGGTAAGTGGTTGCTGCGGCCCATAGACATCTACATCTATCCTCGTTTGCGAATCAAAATGCAGATGCGTTGTCACCCGTGAGGACTAAAATAGAATGCCTCATTCCCAGTAAAAAGGGCCTCCGGCCACCTGCACTCACCAAGTGAAACGCAGAGGTAAACCTCTACTTCACGCTGGTATTCTGTGAGGTCGTGGTACCACCCCGGTTCGAGCCGGCCCATCCGTGCGACAGCAAAAGCTGCCGCGTGGCTCTACCACTGTTTAACTGATTCAAACGAAAAGTACATAAGCATTATTATATATTTTTACATATATGTTAATTGCGATTTAAAGTATCGATTTACCACGTTCTCGGCGTTGAAAGAAAAGCTGCATATCTGAGAAGGCCCCCCAGTTGAGGTGATCGCGTGTTGGCACTTTATTTGGCCAAAAGCTCTGTGGCCTGTGCCCAGTAGTGACATAATATGGAGGCAGCTACTTTTATAGTTTTAATGGGGCAATTATGCTGTTTTTATTTCATTTCTTATTTTGTAGATGTTACTTTTTGTTTTCACACTACCGTAAATAACGGCAGCAAAGATTCGAAAAAATAGAACTCATCATTGTAATCATTACAATCTATCAAAATTCCTCTGAACTTAACATAGACATCCTCTCTAAATTGTCTGGGGCTGAGTTGTTTAACGTCCTGATGTCAGTTCAGTGGAATTTTGAGTTTACGAAGACTACAATCAACTTTAACCTAAAAAAGATTCGTCCGATTTACGCAGGACGAGCCTACAGCTCGCGTCATGTTCATGATATTACGCGTCCTGCGTAAATATCATGAAGTCTTGCAGTAGTATGCTTGCGAATCATCCTTGGTAGGAATCGGTGTTCTATTGTGAAGATTTGTTGTCTATTAAGAATTGGTATCTACGATACTGAACATGTTGACATACTTCAGACTTCTCGGAGCGTCGGTGCTTCACATCAGCAATATGTTCTTTTACGCAAATTTTTAGGGAACTTTTTTCCAAAGATGTGTTTTGTACAACCCGCTTAAATGAAAGTTAAAATATAAAGCAATTTATCAAAATTTGTTTTATTACATGTGCAGTATTTATCATTATAAAACTGCTTTTATGAAATTTTGAAGTCTATTCGAACGTAGAAAATGTCTATTTTATGATGTCACGGGAACAATGATATGACTCAAATATCACATATAAGAGAATAAAAACATCATTATTTTATTAAAACTAAATTAAATTTAATTATGAATGAATTTAAAGAGTAAATAATAATAACAAATTTTGATTCCAAGACAATTTATCTTTCAAGACACGACAATATGCTTTTAACTGCATTGTAAAATAGGCTTATACCCGTAATACTTTAATTAGAATCATTCATTACCTTCATATAAAGTTCGTGAAAATTCGTATAGTAGCTTTTCGTAAATCGTGAATACAGAGATAAACATACAGACGGACAAGAAAATTCTAAAAATTTATAGTAAAGTAATTGGACTTCAGAATAGTTTTCAGAGGCTTTTTTATTCAACCTTTGTTTTTTTTTAGAAAATTTTAGAATTACTGGCACAACTTTTTTACAGACTTAAACAGTGTTAAATAAAATTGTTATGTAGATTATCGAAAGCAGTATAATAATTTGTTATAATGTATATGTGCAGCCTAAATAACAATGATCTTCTTTTGGGTTGCAACATGATAACGGAATGAACTAATTTTACATTTTTTATATGTTTATTCTTCTGTATTTTATTGTCTTCTTCTCATACGGAGTTGACATAACAATATTAATATATCGCAATGCTAAGTGTTGTCCGCTCCGTACATTGAAGCACACAGCTTTCATTCATTGCTTAGAGATAAAATAGGGCGTATCAGTGGATGCTAATTACAACAACGTTTACAAGGTTTAAAACATACAGATTTAAAATAAACATACAATAAGCCATTTCTTCAATTCAAAAAGGAGGAAATTTTCAATTCATTTGTGTTTTATGTATGTTAGACATAACTTCTCTGTTCATGAACCGATTTTAATGATTTTTTGTTCGGTTACTTAAGAGGTGATCCTAAAATCTGTCTAAAATCTGTCGCATACTCGTATGTCGAAATAGCATACCCAAGGGTGGAAAAAAGAGGGTGAATATTTTAATGTAACTATTTTGACGACATTCAAGATTGAACTTAAACTTGATATATCAAGTAGCAGCGACTTCTGAAACTATTATTTGGAATTTTTGTTATTCCTTTTAGTTTTTGAAGTAAATTTTTATTGTGGTCTATTTTAATAAAACGTAGAAAATTGTATGTATTATTTTGAAGACGTTTATCAAAAATGTATTAATGATGTATTTGAATATTTCGTAAACTACATATACACAGCATTTAAATATAACATTAGGTAAGAAAAGTAGTTGAGTACTGGTTTGATTTTCTTTTGTCATCTGTAATGTTTTAATTAGCTTCAAAACTGTTCAGCATTTTTTATTGCGGGAGATGTAAATTTATTTTCCATAAGATCATATCATGTTGTTTTGCAAAGGCATATCATCATTTATATTGAAAAGGTCACGTTGTGCATACCTTAAGTTTAATTAAATTCACTAACCTTCGATCTATTACAAGTGTAGGTTATTATGAAATAATACACTTCAACTTGAATATTTCTGCATAAAATGTTTAACAGTGGGTATGTACCTACATAATTTATTATTAAACAATCACAATAGTTATAAGTAAATGTTAATTGTATAGATTACATTTTTCTGCGGAATATAGGGGATAATAACTGAGTAAAATACTAACCTTTTCTTCAAATGCCTGTATTACATATGCTTATGTACACTGCTAATTTACAGACCAGCAGGCTCTGATGGCCGAATGGGATGACAGAAAATCGATCCAAAAAATGTAAGCCTATAATGGTTATGGATAAATGCGTTACAAGTGTGAGCTACGTGTGGATATAGCATGTAGTAATGAACAAATCTACTAAGAAATTAAGTTATTTATGCAAATTTTCCACTGCAATCCACTGCAGGACATGATGATCTACTCCAGTTGTAGGGAGGAATCACCTTAAACTTGTCATTACAGAACGTCTCACACTTTAGAGCTAGCTGCCTGTGGCCTGACTGGATATATTGCGTCTAATATAAATGAGACGGTTATACTGACATCTATCAGAAGCCATTTACAAATATTTCCAATAGTCGCCTCTTACGACACTTACAGGAATAAATAAGGAAATTGATTAGTTTACGCCGCGATCATAGACAATTTGTACTATATTTTAACATTTTTATAGGATAGGGTGACAAACGAGCACACAGTCCACCTGATGGTAAGTGGTTGCTGTGGCCCATAGACATCTACATTTATCCTCGTTTGCGAATCAAAATGCAGATGCGTTTTCACCCGTGAGGACTAAGATGGAATACCTCTTTTCCAGTAAAAAGGGTCTCCGGTTCTCTACACTCACCATACGAAACACAGCAGCATTAAGCTGCTATTTTACGCTGGTATTCTGTGAGAGCGTGGTCATTCCCCGGTCGAGCCGACTAGCCATGCTACAACTATAGTACTAATATAGTTTCAGCATGGCTCTACCACGTATAAACATAACATACATTCTTATTCCATCAGACAATGCAGTGTTGAGCCGAAAGAGAATCATTTACATTTTTTTTAAAGTTACCCTCACACTGTGTTTTTTTCTTGTACTGTGGAAGCAGTTTACATTTGTAAATTGCATTAGAACAAACTTCTAGACTCACAAAAATCACCGAGCCGTAAATTTCGTCCCGTAGGTGTCGGAAGAAACGACTACGAGATGGAAACAAACATAAATTGTCAGAAAGATATTAGCGCTTAGCTAAAACTTAATTATTGACTTAATTTAAAGTGGTAGAGCCACGCGGCAGCTTTTGCTGTCGCACGGATGGGCCAGCTCGATCCGGGGTGGTACCACGACCTCACAGAAAACCAGCGTGAAGTAGAGGTTTACCTCTGCGTTTCGCTTGGTGAGTGCAGGTGGCCGGAGGCCCTTTTTACTGGAAATGAGGCATTCCATCTTAGTCCTCACGGGTGACAACGTATCTACATTTTGATTTGTAATAGAGGATAGATGTAGATGTCTATGGGCCGCAGCAACCACTTACCATCAGGTGGACTGTGTGCTCGTTTGTCACCCTTATCCTATATTAAAAAAAAATCTAGACCAGTGACGGTGAGCATGACCAAAGATGAGATTCGTCGCGTACTGCGTTTGCCGATTTCTGTGCCACATGGTGATTATGATAAATCTTCCCTGGAACGAGAGAGGCTCATATCCAGTACAGAACTTTCACGGATTAATGATAAAGAAAAAACTACATATCTCTGAATTAAATTTAATGAAATATTAATGAAGAATAATAAGTTATATATAGCAATTTAAATCTTCTCTATTCGGTATTTTAAACTTGAATTATAATTCGACATGCCACGTCCGATGAGCTTGAATATTTAAAATGAAGCCACGACCCTGTCTAACTCATCTTCTGTGAAGCATAACAGCATAAAACAGTATACTCGTCGACGGTCAACGTGACTTTCGACAGCAGGGGATAAGTAATAACTGTTTTCTTCTGGTAAATAACGGTCTAAATCGATCCTACATACCTGTGAAAATTATAAAAATTAATAAAAATATGGAATTATCGAGACCCAGCAAATAATACTATTGCAGAGATTTTGTAACAAAATATATATTGTAATTTTAATTAAAAAGCTTAGATTTGTTTTTGAGAAAACAAACATTATAAATAGCATGTTCCATGTAGCCAGGAGGTATCCACTCCATTAATTACATGCTTACTCTAACGGTTGTCACACCTCTGCGATAGATGTGATAATGCCATTGCCATTTTGGTTTCCAGCCACGGCAGACTTGAGCTTGGTTTTTCGGTGAATTTATTCTGAAGTTTTGACTTAGTGCCAAGCTTGAAGTAGAGTACGTACATCTAAGTACATCGTCGCACGCTGATAATGATCATGAAGAATTTAGTTCATCTATGATAATTCCCGTATCTCTGACAATACACACAAACCCATTTTCTCTGCATATGCTTATAATCGGAAATTAGTATGGGCTCATTTGTACTAAAATGAGAGCCAATGTATAAATTTGGGCACACTGTTTAGCTAATTAAAAAAGGAGGTTCTCAATTTGACTGTATGCGTTTTAAGATAATTAATAGAATCAGGCGTTACTTTGCGGAAGTCCATTATATTAAATTTGACAAAAAATTACTTTACGTACATCCGCTAGATAAAATAAAATGATGTGTCTTACCTAGAGAGTGTCTTACTAAGAGCACCTCCCGCCCTCCCTCAATTGCGTGCACTATCCCTGTTACCACTAATCCCAGCACCACTACTCCCAACACCACTACACTAGGAAAGACACACCACTGACGACAATACGACACGTGTTTCGCTTCTACACGAGGCATCCTCAGGTGATATATGATGAACTTACATAAGTTACTCGATATCTTCGTCAATTGTGAATTGATTTTGATGATTTTTTTAATTATATAAGTTATACAGGTCAGGTCAGGGGTGTTTGAGAAAATAGAGAATGTATTTTTAATATACTATTTAGACGAAATTGAGATATTGATATTCCTAGATTCACTCAAAAGGGTAAAAATTTACTTTAAGTACTAAAAGTAAAAGCCGACTTCAAAAAACTCAATATAATAAAATAAATTTCAAATTCTGCATTCGGGGCTTTAATCCTTCTACACACTGTCTTAGTATCGACTTCAGAATGTAAAATTATGTATGTCGTATTATAATTACTTTCGACAGTACTTCAAAGTTATTGACTTAGTAGGAATCTTTTGACTTGGGAATTGACGCAAATATGAATGCAAATTTAATTACTTATAAGGAATTTACAAACTTACGTATTAAATCATATCACTGCGGTTACATTGGAAATGGAACTTATTTTTGCTGTAAATTAATCAATTTTTTACCTTTTTTTCGTCTTCGTTATAGCACATAAGTTCTTCAAAATGACTATTTAATTTGTCCTTAGGTTTTTTGAAGTAACGCTCCAGTTCAGCGTATCGACCTAAATGCTGGAAAAGATTGAACTTAAAAACTTTTGAACTCCGTTCTACGAGTACGTTCCTGAGAAATATTTAAAAGAAAACTTAGCAAGGGATTTGGTTACATATTTTGTTTCAAGGGCAGTCACCTTATAAGTCTTTTTCTATGCCTGCTTCATATGTTTACAACATTCTTATTATTCAAACATACATTTATATTTATAACATTCCCAAGCTATATCACTCAATAGCAAGGTAACCAAATTTATGATAACCTTATATATATACATCAGTGGCATTATTTTTATATAATGATTTATTTTATTTTTAGTCTGAGTTTGAAATGTAAAAGTTTCACTTCAAAATTACAGTAGAGTAGTAAAACTTTTTATCTCTATATATAAATAAAATTGAAGTATATGTCTCTAATGTTGATGTAACTGGATATTGTTAAACTCAGGGGTTTATTTGCATTTTCAAATTTTCTCTCTGTCTGTCCGGGCTTTACGAATAGATAGAGAGAGATCTATGCTATTATATTTAATGCGAGGAACTCGAAGATTTTTTTGAAAAATAAACTACATTGAAAAAATAAATGGTCTTTGATAATCTTAAAACTAAATTAACAGGTTCTACCCAGGTGGAGACGTGGTGGTTCGCAAGTTACATACAGAATGTGGCGTAAACACTGGTCCACCGTTAAGGTTTCCATAAAACAGATAACACTCAAATGTCTACATGATATTTATATTAATGAAATAAGGTGAATTTTTAAGAGTCCATCTTCCTCGACGCTTTACTAAGAAGAAATTTGTTAATAATTAGTAGGTGAAGCATCACCGTGCTTATTTTAGTTAGCGGCAGCATTGGTCATGTCGGTGATTCTATATGAAATATAGTTAATGACCCTGGGAAACTAATGGCTTTTTTAATAGGACAGGGGGCAAACGATCATGCGGCTAGAATAGTTAGGTATAATACATAATACATACATAAACATAAACACTCACGCCTGTCACCCAGAAGGGTAGGCAGAGATTATGGACTTCCATTTGGCACGATCCTGACACACCTCTCTCGCTGCCTCCACATCCATATGGTAGCGGCGTAAAAAAAAATACCACACTTTACTTTCGCACCATGAGGCAAGAAATTAACGAAATGGCCCCGAGTTCCCGGCGCCCCTTTAATGGGGCAGGGGTGCGAAGAATCTCCGGGAGGAAAACCGGCGACGAGGATCGCCACCCGTCACGTTCTGTCCCCCGCAAAGGCAAAAAGTGGATTGCGGAAACCCGTCTTAGGTATAATAATTATTATTTAATTAAATAATAATTAAATAGATACTTAATAATCGTTAATTTAATTTAATAGTTATTTTTTATATTTAGGCTACTTTTATCAGACTACAGAAGTTTAAAATAAAGGGTTTTTTCTTTTATGTTTATATTATAAATTAAATTACTTAATTTTTTTCATTATGGCTATTATTTATTTGAATTATTACAACATTGAAATAATAATAATTGAAATTTAAAGACAGTTCATTCGTGTAATAGATAATTCCATAAGTTATAAGCGAAGCCATACGTAAGACTCTTAATATCTATACTTTCAGATTTAAAACGTATTAGTGGGCTATGTCGACAATCTACATTGTACATTTAAAACACCGCCATCTATAAAAAATAGTGTATTATTTTCCTTTAGTAGTTATGCTTATAAATATTTAGTTTAAAAATTATTAATACTTTTACATGTATAATTTGCCTTTAATTTCAATTATCACTATTTAAATATTGTAATAATTCAAGTAAATAATAGCCAAAACGCTACATACTTGAAGTGATTTAATTTTATTTATGAAATATAAATATTAAAATAGGAATTATTGAGTTGATTTGCTTGCGATTATTGTTAAGATGTCACTACATAATTTAATAGGCGTAATATATATACTATCAGCGTAAATTATTTGTATTTATGTATTTATTATATTAGTATATATTTTTATAATACATTTAAATATTTGTAATATTATATCATAAAAATTGAAAATTGTGTAACAAAATATGATTACGAGAGAAGCCTTATGTTGGTTGGCTATTAGCACAGTAATAATTTATGAACTTCTTTCGCTACCAAGTTATGTTTTTTAAGTGATAAAAGATTAAGATAGTTCATGACATCTTTTGTTGCATAATTACTTTAATGTTTTCCACTCTTTAATAGTATTGGTCATTATGGGAATCGATTGTACGCAAGCTATATTTGCACAAGTTGGTCACGGACAGGTTCATAATATTACTTAACTTTTAACTTTTAGAAATTTTAGTGAAACACTTATAATATTTCTTTTTTAATTTTAATTTAAATAATTTTCAATTTCATACTTTAGTATCAAAATTTGTTACTTGGGGGATACGGTGGCGATTGGAATTTTGAAATTTGTTTTTCTTAAAATATGAAATAAAATAAACACAAAACAAAGATTTATAATATTTTTGAAGTTAAGATTTATATTTTGACACTCGGCGTCAACACACTGACAGACAACAAAGTGGTTTTGATTCATTTTGGTAAAGAGATATTCTATTCGGAATGGGAGTCCGCGGGAGCAACTCAACGTCACTGGAAAAAGCTAGTATATTATAAATTATTTTGTAACGAGTTAGCAAATTATTACTTTCGATGTCAAGCCTCGCTTTAGCAGTTTCTATAATTATGAATTTTGGAGTCATGATAGTTTCCTTAATTATGGTAGTCATCACCTTGAAAATGTTTCAACAACATGAGTAGAGTTTTAACAAAATATGAAATTAAATATTACTCGGTGCTAGGGATTGTTATTTTACGAGGATCTCGTCGTGTCACGTGGTTACATTTATTGACTTGAAAGCTTAAAAACAAGAAGATTTTTGAACAACTGAAAAATATTATTATTGCATGACGATGTTAAGTAGGTAAGTATACACGTAAATAGTAAAAAGAAATATTGTTGATTTTATTAAATGCAGTAAAATGAAGAAAAAACAAAAAAAAGGGTCATTAGATATAATACTTTGGTTATTAAATGGGTGTGAACACTGACATAAATCAAACTATTTTGTCGATGCTTATTTAAAAGTTTGGTGCGAGTTCATCTAAATATTTTACTGTATTTTAATTAAAACTTGCTATTTAAAGATGCTTTTTTATCTGTCGTAAAAATAAACTTCATAAAATTTAGTAAAATTACTTTTTGGTTTTACCAATAACGTCTTTACCTCTGCAAATGGCGATCCACTTTTTCGTATAGTATCCTGAGGAAATTCATTTGGAAATATACGCCTTAGTTCTACATCTTCGCTATTTAACAAAAAGTCATATTTTTAATTTAAAATAATTAGATTTTATGAAATAATGAATGTCACTTACTACGTATAGATAACCCCATCACAGTAAATAATAAGCCAACAAAGACACTGTAAATAAATTATAGATATATAATTAACGAAATAAAATTATTGTATCAGTCTAACGTCTAAAACGTACTATGTGGAATGAAATATACAAGTTGTTGTGAAACATATCGACCAGAAACGTTGATTTAAGCCATGCAAGTAGACCAATATTGGTTTGAATATAAAACTACCCATAAAAATGTACTTTGTAATAAAATATAAATGTAATTCCATCTCATTGCGGAGGTGAAAATACTTGTTTGGGTTTTGTGGAACAAATCGCATGAGCTGTTATGGATAAGTTAATATTTTTTATACATAGGTATAACTTTAAATTGATAAATGAGCTTGTAGCCCACCTAAATTAGGTGACCGCTTACCATCCGCAAATCATAGGCATTGTACGTTGTCACACCTAAGAACTAAGACTAAAATATGAATATGAAACAACCATCTAAAAAATTATAAAGATTAGTCAATGATTTAGTTTAGTAGATATTTATGCAATTATAGCTACAGGTGCTGTTCATTCTCTCTGGTATTTTTATACTTGAATCTGAAATACTCTTAGATATTTGATTCAATATTTCAAAGACGCTACACGCAAATAAGGTCTAATATAAGAAATTGCATATTTCCTATTTTACTTTAAAAATATAAATACACTACTTTTCATTGCTTATAACGATGATGATGATAAATGATTTTTATTATTATGATGATAATAATATCCCCAAAGTCGCGAAAATTTATATTATATATAACATATTCGGTTAAAGATAAAGAACATAAACCAAATCCTGCTTTTGCTATTATCTCGAAAGCTATGTTGTATACGATTGTGAAAAAAAAATAAAAATCTATTAATTTGACTTTAAAAAGTTCTTGACCTTATCCTTTAGCACTCTTATATTTGTTACAAAAAGGTGATGTTTAAAAAAAAATAAAAAATCGATTTTGAATCATTCAAATCAAAACTTAAAAGCTAGAAGATAGTATGAGGCGCTTTTTCTGTTAAATTGCAATGTTTTTGAGTGAAAACTTCTTTAGCATCGCTGTGATTTGAAACGAAAAAGCGACACTTAAAATAGACAAATATATAAATCTATAGGAAAGAATGAGTTACAATCTATACTAATACTAGCTGGCCAGGCAGACGTTGTTCTGCCCTTTCCGACGACCCTTCCTATAAAAATTCCTTAAATTCGAAATAAAAAAATATTGAAGATCACTCGTCGGTATAAAAGTATCCTATCTCTCAAGTTGGACCAAACTGCATACAGTGTGCGAAATTTCATTGAAATCAGTTCTGTAGTTTAGGAGTTCATCGCGGACAAACAATGTGACATGTAATTTTTATATATAAAGATAATAGAGTGGAAGAAGATTTTTTGTTTCTTTAAATGCACTAATCTCTGGAACTACTTGTCCCATTTGATAATTTTGTATATGATAGCCATATTAACCAGGAATATTATAGGCTATCTAGCATTAGGCTACATCTATCAGCTAGCCTTAAATATTGATTTTTGTTAAGCAAGTCAGAAGAAGAAGTGCTCCCGAACCGCTCTATATGTGTGCGCTGGCTAGGCTATCTAGCATTAGGCTACATCTCTCAGCTAGCCTTAAATATTGAAGTTTGTTAAGCAAGTCAGAAGAAGAAGCGCTCCCGAACCACTCTATCCGTGTGCGCTGGCTAGACTATCTAGCATTAGGTTACATCTCTCAGCTAGCCTTAAATATTGATTTTTGTTAAGCAAGTCAGAAGAAGAAGCGCTCCCAAACCGCTCTATCCGTGTGCGCTGGCTAGGCTATCTAGCATTAGGCTACACCTCTCAGCCAGTCTTAAATATTGATTCTTGTTAAGCAAGTCAAAAGAAGAAACGCTCCCGAACCGCTCTATCCGTGTGCGCTGGCTAGGCTATCTAACATTAGGCTACACCTCTCAGCTAGCCTTAAATATTGATTTTTGTTAAACAAGTCCGAACAAAAAGTGCTCCCGAACCGCTTTATCCGCGTGCGCTGGCGTAATGGTTAGAGATTTAGGTACGTAAATACTACTTTCTATAAAAATATAGAAAAATATGATATGAAAATGCATCCAAAAACAGACCGCAAGAACAAAGACCTATTTCTTATACATAAGCCACAATAAGGTATTTTGTGACAATAAAGTATTGAAAATTAAAAAGTGATTTAAGCGCGTTATTATTAGGCATTGCATATTAATCCATACTAACGAAAGTTACTTCATCGTCAAAACAATTTTATGAAAATAAACATTGGTCTTTATAGCATGTTATAAAAAATTTAAATAGGCGCGTGAAAATAAAAGTTAATGAAAATCATTTGCTGTAAAATGTTTTGTTTTATATTTCATTTCATTTGAAGGTTTCACTTCTACCGCATGTGAGCTGTACACAACATGTCTTTTTTTATATTTCTTAAAGTTTATGAGATAATAATTACGAAAAGTCTTTAATTCTACAAAAATCCGCCATGTTTCTTGGATAAAATATAGTCTAGATCGCTCCTGGTATTTCTCTCTATCTAAATATATATATCCACGTGAAGTTTTTGCCACAGGAATAGTATGCCACCGAAACAGTTTTTACATATTTTTTTTTATAGGATAAGTGTGACAAACGAGCACACAGTCCACCTGATGGTAAGTGGTTGCTGCGGCCCATAGACATCTACATCTATCCTCTATTACAAATCAAAATGTAGATGCGTTGTCACCCGTGAGGACTAAGATGGAATGCCTCATTTCCAGTAAAAAGGGCCTCCGGCCACCTGCAAAAGTATATGAAACAGATAGGAAAACTTTTCTTGTACATATATATAAACCAGGCATTTATCGATTCTTACAATATTTACGGCTAGGAATGTGGTGATGGATCCTTTTGTGCCGCCTCCTCAAAGCAAGGTTGTGGTAAAAAATAAAATAAAAATAATAGTTTTGCGAGTATTAAGTCTTTTCTATAAATTCAATTATTTTAGACTATCAGTAAGGAAAGTTCAACATGATTACGTAATTATTACGTAACGATAATTACGTTTACGTTCGTCAAACATTGAAGGAAATAGGTATCACTATTGCTCAATATATAGGATTAAGTAGTGCGGAATTGGGGTTTGTTATTTTTTTAGATTAAGCCTGTTTTAATTAAACATAGTAATATTTTTGATAGGTAAAATTACAGAACATTGACCACCAATTTGTATTAACCTTTTTGAATTTATTTCTGGACCATGCCTTTTCAAGATAGCGGCATCTAGTAAGCGGTAAGTATTTGGAACATTTATCATTTCTCACTTGCTGAAAAGGCGGGTTGATGAGGTAACAAACAAACAGACAAGAATATTAAATGAGGTCTAAACCTATTTAAATTTTCTTTTGTAGTAGCACGTTCGTATTTAGATGTCGTATTTGAAACCTAAATATCTGCTTCTTTATCAAATAAATGAAATGTCATAAATAAAGGTGAGAAACTAGCAAAAGTATCATATTTTATATAAATAACAAGATGTAGGGTCTTTGTCACTCATTATGGATTCGATGAATCTCTCTTACTCAGTAAGTTTTCGTTCTAGATAGAGAACCTGATGATTAATAAAAAATAACCCTTTTACATAGAATACCTGTAACATAATTCGAAAACCTATTAAAAAGTTTTTTCATAATATTTAATAGACATAATATTTTAATAATCAAAATGTTTATGGTGTTGTAGATAATTCTAATGGCTTACACAAGTTTTGCCGTTAAGAAATCTATGTATAGCAAATGTCAGTTTGAACATCATAATATATTCAAGCTTAACATTCATCATGACTAATGTTTCAAAACTGCAGCATGCATTATTTTTATGTCCGCTTTAAAATATAATTGCTTGGAATCTGCGAATAAAGTATCAAAAATCAGTAAGTTTATTTAAATAGCTGCTTGCGTTTGATCAAAATGACGCCAAACACTTTTTTATTCTTCTTGTGTTCTGATATATTTAGGCAGATGAGTTAACAACCATTGCAAATTATGGCTACATCCTATCATTATTACATAAAATATCTAAAGTACTACCTTCCTTATTATGTTTGCGAATAAAGAATACTGAGATATATTGCCTATCGGTTTAAAACAAATTTTGGTAATCTCAGAGCCTTATTGCTATCAAGTGTGTGGAGGAGTTAGTGTCTGTTTGTTAGTGATAGTGAACATTTAATGTATGATATATTCATAGGTATAATATAAAAGAAACATTATTTTGGGTTAAATAAAAATCCGTGTACGCTTTTCTTTAACTTTATTTGTTAACAATGATATAGGTAACAAGTGTATTATAAATTAACCAAGAAGAGAAGAGAGGACAGCATCGGGTACAGCTCCTCCAGGTCCCTGTTCAATCTCTGGTTGGTAGCCGTTTTGGTCAGCAACGTATGTTACAACGTATGTGACACCATCCTGTCCTATGTATGTGAAGCTACCTTTTACAGAGAGGTACTCATCCTCGCGGCCTTCGTTAACCACTTCTCCTTGCTGTTCCTGTTTTGTACCGTCTGACTGTTCAAATCTGTAAGGAAAATTTTTAAATTTAAATTTCTTATTGAACAAGTTCTCTTTACGCTTTAAAATACAGATGACCCGACAACTGTTTAAAATAAGAAATAACTCATGCAAAAGACTAAAATAAAGAATGTTTCGTGTGACCGTGGTAAGAGAATTCATGACTGCATCTCATGCTGTATAGTAAAAATGTAAGTATTAAAAATATCTGGTCGTGTCGTCGACCCTTTCACAAATGGCGTAATAAATACAGAAATTACCAGTGATTAGTGAAAATAACTAAGAAATTATTGTGTATGTTTCAATAAATTCAATGAAACATACTATATTAATGTTTCTACTCATTTCC